TCCACTCAGTCCTGACAGAATAAATGTCTCGTCCTGAACTTTTCGGGGGAACCTTTTGAAAATTTCGAATGAAAGGACAGTGTATACAGACCATTCGTTCGAAAGGGTAAACTGCGGCCATTTTAGGAGGAGCCTGTACATACAGAAAAAGGGAGAGAGAGAGAGAGGGAGAGTGAGTGAGTTCGTTCCAGTTTTCTTGGGTCGTCGAAGTTTTCCCGATCGGCTACGCCCTTGTCTGAGCCGGACAGTGAATGGGTGGTCGGGAGAGTTACGTCAGTGGCGATGCACGCTGAAAAATATTCGACTAACCGAATGGATTAGATTGATCCACGCTCGTAAATCGTACACTCCGCCCCTCGACCATTATTTGTTCGTAGGTTAACGCGACAATTTAGAGTTGCGAGCATTGAAATATTCTCTTCGATTGCAGAGAAATAGTCTGAAATTCATTCAAGCCTAACGAAACAATTACTCTTAATGAACATTCTGATTCACCTGCATATTTATATGACCTACTTCACAGTAATCTATCCATATATTCTAAGAGGTCGGTGTCTACGAGACGCTGCTTAGATCTCACTGTAGCTTCTCGTCATACTACTAAATTCCAAGCGTCCTTTCCCCTACCATTATAACTCTATTCCTTCTGATACGCGTTCCGTGTCCCTCTTTAAACACATTCTTCGCTCCGTTCATATACCCCTTGCACATTTTCTATCTATTATTCGTCTCTATTCATCCCGCTGTTCTTCGCGGTATCTCAATTCACTTTAGAGTGCAATAATTATCATATAGAGAGGAGTCATGAGTGGACAGTGGAACGTGTCGACGAATAGACCGAGCTGCTATATTCCGCGGAATATTTCCATTATTTACGCGGGAAACGTTTGCCCGGGAGAAAATGGCACCGCGAGGCTGACGAACGCTTCGTGGAAACGCTGCTGCGTGCGATTAACGTCGGGGAAAAAATTGGCCTAGCCGTGCGTTAAAAAAAAGCGGGCGTCGCAGCCGATGAACTCTGCTCGTTTCTTTCCGCCCCGGGCCTTTTAACGATTTCGCGCCCAGACTCTCAGCGGCCTCGAACGCCACACGCCAGACGCTTTCCGGCCAGAGATTCTCCAACGGGAAGGAATTAACTGGTTCGCGGGCTCCTGATGGTAACGAGGATTCGCGTGGGAGGCGTAAGTACACGCGCGTTAGTTGATTCTCGTGACTCCGGGAACTGGAGGGAAAATTGGCTAAATTATTGAGACACTCGTGGACACTCTGACTCGTAAACGCTTGATCTTCGCGTACGTTGTCGGATAAAGTAAGTTGCGAAAGAAAACGTTCGTCGTTTTGATCCGATCAACCGGTTGATGGCATGTTCTAATTACCCCGGGTGAAATTCCGCGAAACAACGGGAGGCTCGTGGGCTCGCCGCTATATACTCTCGTTTGTATAATTGAATGACGAATTTCGTGCATGGCGCAACGACAAAATAAAATTTGACAGAGTCGTCCCCAGCCCCCGTTTCTCCCGGAGTAATGAAATTTTTCGCTTGATGTGGGAGAGTGAGAAGAGAGAGAGAGAGAGAAAGAGAGAGGTGGGGGAGAGGGATAAAGAGATTCGTGCAAATCGTCGAATTTGCGGCACCGTGATCCCGATGGGCGGAAAACATTTCGAAATAAACGGAGATCAAAGCGGCGACGGCGGCGGCGGCGGCGTCCTGATTCGAGGAAAAGGAAGGTACGACAACGCCTCTTACGATACCCGCCACTCGAATGTCTCGTCGTAATTAGTCGAGGCCTTTGAAAGTACGTGAAAGTGGAAATTATCAACGTTCGATTCGGTCTGATCCAATTCGAGTCGCTAATTGCGCCTCGATTCACGATTATCGGGGTCACCGATCGCGGGAAAAATAGAATTCACTTATTTTAGCCCATCCATTCGACGAAAATACTTTTTGCACGTATCGCAGGACAGAAAAGAAGAAAAGAAAAACAGCTGATAAAAATAGATTGAGAACGTAACGAGTTTATCGCGAAACGATCGAACGTGATGGATAGAAAAAAAGACTTAGGAAGAAGAAGAAGAAGAAGAAGAAAAACGGCTTGTACCGGCATGTTCGGGGGTTTGCCTGTCTTGGAAACGTTTGAGTTACAAATTAGGTGGATCGTGGACTATCTACACGTGTCTAAGCGCGAACAAACAGGAACGGGGAAAGGGGGGAATGTTAGTTTTTGATTCGAGCGAATGGGATGATAGGGGAATCGATGTCCAAGCGTAGAGGAACGATATTTGTTGTGGAAGCAGGAGGCATCGATTCGGGCCCCGGGTATATTAAATTCCCGATGCTATCGAGTGAAACATCGGAATCGCGTGCCTCGTAAACCAGCCTCGCCACCACCTCTCCTACGTATTTATACCGCTTTGTTTTCCTAACTAGCCCGGTCTGTCGTGGCTTAAAATGGCTTAACCGACGACTCTGTTTTACCACGCCGTGTACACGTCGCAAAAACGACAAAGCTCTCTCTCTCTCTCTCTCTCTCTCTCTTTCTCCCTCTCCTTGTTCCTTGTCGCGACGCGGAAAATTGAAACGTTAAACGCGCGTTCCTAACGATCCAAGGGAAATACGCGGCGCTGGCGTAATCGAATCGAAGCCGAAGGAACGAAGGTCCGCGAGTTGCCAGCGGAAGGAAGCTTTTCTTGCGAGCCTTCTGACGCTTTTTGCATTATTACGGGTCATAAGCTGCTTATGCAAACGGCGCCACGTTTCGCGACCGTCTTTTTCGAACTAACGATCTTGCAGCTTCCCTGGAATCCATTTTATATGTACTATACAATAGGTATGTAGGTAGGGTAGTTTTATTAGTGTTTGCTGAAATCGCGATAAACTTGTAACGCAATATGGAAAAGTGAATTATCCCTGGACTCGCGGGGTGAGGGAAACCGAACTCGGTTCCCGTTAATCTTTCCCGTTCCCATTAACCCCGGGTCCGGTTTACGTAGCAGATTATAGTAGTTTCTGAACCGTTTAATTTCACCGTGCGAACATTATGCCGCGGCCCTGTTACTCGCAAACATAATACACTCTAACCTTGTTTCGCTTAACAGTCGAGAAGTTCCCTGGCGTCGGGCGTCGGTGTCGGCGTCAGCGTCGTTAAGAAAAGCCTCCCTGCCCTCTCAATGAAACACTGATTTTGCCGGAACAATTATTATCGCGAGGTAACAGTGGAACGAGTCCGACAATGGTCAGACAGGCATCAGATGCAGAAACGGTGGAATAGGTTTTATCCAGCATTATCCGAGAGCGAAGTGGTATTCGAAGTTAAATAAACGATGTCGTGAAAAATGCTGCCCGCTCCAGACACTTTACATCCTTTCCGATATGTTCGACGATGGATGCGGGTGAGAGAAACTCTGGACATTCATCAGAGGACGAGGGGAACGCACGATAACTCGGCGATTAGTTATTAAAGAGGAGGGTGTGGGACAGCAGACAGAGAAGCAGGGGAGGGAACAGAAGTAATTTCGAGCGCGTCGATTACCCCTGGCGTAGGAATTTCTGCTACCTGAGAGTCTCCCCCACGGGCGGAGTCCCTATAGAAATACCGTCGTCATTGACTATCATCTATTCGAGGCCCTCCTCGCCTCGGGCTTATTTTTCGTATACTACCCGCGAGGAACTAGGCCACTGGAAACCGAGTCTTTTTATCTGCACGCCGTCCATTTTATGAATTTTATGAAACCCCGGGATGGCTAGTAGCCGAGATGAAAAAGTTTCGCGGGGCTTTAATGAAACTTCGGAGAAAAGTTTCGCCCCCGCCCTGTCCCCTGCTCCTATGCAGTCCGCGTTACAACCGACCATACGGCGATTCCTTGCGCGAAAATAAATCGAAAACGTAGAATGACGTTTCAAGATGCGGGGACCGTTCCTTTCTCGAGAAGATCGGTTTTGAGTCGGCGCACCCGCATGTTTCCTGCCGGATATACCCGGATAGACACTGTGCTGCTGTACTTCTACGTATCTGGCTTTCTCGCGAAAATCGAGGAAACACGGGATCTATCGTGAAGTTTCGCGGACATTGCAGCGGAGAAAATCGACGAAGCGTGACTGTCGCTGATTGCTGGCTAAGGCGAAACGTGACGACGCTCGTGATCCTGACCAGGTTTTGGGTCGAGCTTTTCATCGACCCGCCGAATAAAAATTGATTCGAGAAACACCTAGGTACTGTTACATCCATCTAAGAACTCGACGGCAGTAAGAAAAGGTATAGGGAGAAAAGATAGGTAGGTCCTCGATTGTACAGGTAGAGAGTAAAAAGAGCTTTCTACGTAAGTGTAAAATAAAGAAAATAGAGGAGACGCACGAAGGGTTCCTCTATTGTGCGTACTTTTAACAAGTAGTACACCTTTAATTGAGGCCCTACCTCGGCAATATTAGAGATGCAAAGTTTCGCTGTTGAACTCATCTGAAGCTTCTAGACTTGTATTTGGCGCTGGTTTTTGTCGAAGACGGCGCGCAGCTTCCTCGTCGACGCGGTTAGATATGTGTCCCGTAAACCTAAAATTGAGCGTGTACTTTCATTTCCTGCGAGCCACTCTATCCGGTTTCGAACAAAAGCCGCTTAATATTAAAACGTTACGTATTACGCAGGCGTTTTATCGTTTTTCGATAACGCACATATACACACACACACACACACACTGACACAGACATATATCGGAGGAGACCTCGCAATCTTTTTCCGCGGCAGCAACGTGCATGCATGCATACACATGTCTCGAAACTTTTGGAAAAGTTTTGCTCCCCGTGGAAAATTCCCAGGTAACTCGTCCGAAATTCCCCTGGGGTACAAGTTGCTCTGGTTTTGTAGAACCGGAGTGCTTCCCATGGGAATGCTCCCTGAGAGAACTTGGGAATATTCACGCGATTGGATTTCGCACTTGCACGAATATTATTCCTACGTTACCGTGCAATTCCTCTGCTAACAGCGTTCTTATCTTTCTCGTTGCAGAAGCCGACTACACTTTAGATGATTCCTTTTGGAACGAAGAAACTCCTGTTGGTAAGTGTTCCACCCAAAACTGTCTTGCAGAACAGAGGACAAAAGCGTAATACACAATGCGCAGGAACTTGCAGTCAGAATCTGTAGATACTAATCGGTACGTCAATGTTATCGTGAGAAAGGCAGCGTTCAGAAACGCACACGCGTATGTGTGGGTGTGTGTGTGTGTGCGGACGACAGTTTTCCTTTGAGAATCTGTTACAATGTAAGACGCGTAGTAGAACATGTTCTGACAATGATATATTTTGGTCCAAGCGTGGAAAGGACTGCTTTAGACCAGTTCCCCTTATCTGATAAATTTGCCATCTATAATTATCCCCCAACACTGTACCACACCTCTTGCTTCAAGTGGATGAATTTTTTCAATCGAGAAAATCAGAATCTCGGAGAAGAATGGCCGATTCACGGTTAGGTTAGGTTTCGGACGAATCAAAGAACAAGAGAGACGAGCGTTTTTAACAGATTTCCCGGGAAATGTACGCAAAGGAAGACAGCGGGGGGAGACCGCATTGCAGCACTTCCCACGGAAACACGATCTGCGGTTACATCTAGTTCTCGGTCGCGGAAAATGGTTTATTGTTAAGTCAACAGCGGTGATTGGCTGGAAACACGAAACTTAAATTGGGTTAAATTTTAGACGAGAGGACGATGCATCCCACGGCATAAAATGGACCAGTATATAACAGTGGGCTCGCTAAACGTCGCTTCTTTGCAAAGAAAGAATCGTCGTAGCTTGTAAACGTCTTCGAACCGGATCGAAGAAAGTGGACAAACCGATCGTGGAACTGAAGAAATCTGTGTGTAGAAGCACGAAGCTGGATCGTTTCTTTCTCCTTGTTCCACGCGGGGAGAACGATTCTATTTGTCCTTCCGGTCTCGTGGTCGTTTTCCACGGGGAAAAAGTGCGGCGAATTTGAATTGCAAAGCAGGCGGACCCGCCGGCTAAAGCGTCGTACACATTTCCCCAAGAAATTAATATTCATACTCGTATTTAATTACACGTGTACCTGACCGAGGCTATAGGCGGAGCAGATGTTCGGAGCTGGTCGAAAAGTAAATCCGTCGTGAATTTCGTCACCGCCCTCGCGGCAGCCGTGTAATAACCTGTCATGTCGGTTAAATTAATCGCAATTCGTGCTTCCGAGTGCTCCAGCACTCACGTTCCTACACAGCCGACACAATAAACGGGCTTGGCTACGTGACGCGTGACAAACCCATGGACGGGGCCAACTTAATCGGTCGGTAATCTCGCCTCCTGCTGGAAATTCAATTTACGAATACGGCCGCTCTTGGCTTGCTCCTCGAGCCTCCTGGCAGTGGTTCACACAGGACACAAAAAAATAGTCGATCACCGCACCAGCCCCTTGGCTCGCTACGAATACTTTCGCAGAGTACGTGGAAAATCTCGGCTGGAGGCTCGAAAAATAATATTCGAGCTAAGCTGTGGCCATTTCTACGAATTTCAATGGGAAGATTTGCAGGAATGTACGTGCTTTTCAAATGTTCCACGGAATAGAAGAGAGAGAGAGAGGATATGACTATATAGAATATAGACTATACAGGACGGATATATGTATATTCACCTAATGAGTTTAATTGAATTTTATCAGTGGGTGCATTTGCAAGGTAGCATTACCGTCTCTATCGCTGCCACCGCGGCTCCGTATGCCCAAACGACGTCCATTCTCGTCTGAATGTGAGGTATTTCGTCAACAGGTGTTACAGATCGGCGTGCATTAAGCCCTTCTTCCTTTGAGACCGGTGAAAATAGCGCGGAGCGCGCATATCAAGATACACACCTACATTAAGGAAAGTGGCAATCGCCGCGAAACGACAAGGAGGATTATTATGTAACAGGAAAGATTCGAAAGTTGGTTCGAAAACGAAAATAGAAGCCGGGAGAAGTGCAGGTTGTACAGGTGCTCGATTCGAGTGGCATGGTAATTAGTTGATCCGTCGGTAATCGCGGGAGCCGCGGGTAATAATTCATTACACGTGACTCGAAACACGGCGAGGTCTCCGTGTTGAAAAGGGCGACGATACGAGGTGGCAAGTAATTATCCATACACTTCATTTTGAATGGGTCGGGTTAAATCGGGCAAAGCCAGCCCCGGACAGTCGATAAGAGGGTAAACTAGATACTACATGCTTCGAGGAGACCCTCCACTGATTATCTCGACTCATTCGTAGCTGACTGCAGCAACAGTTTAGTCTGCCGCGAAACAGCCCCCGGAGGAGGACTCGTCGTCATCCTGTCGATTACACCGCTTTTCCATTCCGAGTCTACACGAAAGATATACCGAATCGTATTATCGCGATTACAAAATTCCCCCCGACGGAAAATGTTATTATTGCAAATCACGAGACATTACGTATGTTAGGTACTTATGTACGTATGTAACTCAACGTTCGTCGTTCATAGGGCAGGACACGGTTTTATCTGAGAAGCAACGGCGACCGCGACGCGCTACAAGGCGATGTGTATTCGGTCGGGGATTGGAGAGCGAGCGATGAATTGAGCAAGGAAATTGATTTCAGGTGAGGTCGAACGACTACTACGAGAGTATCGACAAAACCAAGAGCTAGTACAAAATATCGGGACCCATGATCATCAGATCATCTATCCAGTACAGTTACGGCATCACGAGAAAATGGGGATATCCACAAGAGAAGTCAGCGTATCGAAGGTAAAATCGTGCGATACCATCTCAATGAGGAGGGGATTTGGAATTTTTTTTCTTTTCACCAATTCGTGAACTCTGTGTCGCGCGTGTTTTAGTTTCCTCAAAGAGGATACGGAGAGGGTGGATATCAAAACGCTCGCGGCAGAATGAAAGTAAGTTTGCGACAGGGCGATTAACGAGGCAAGTTTTCAGACACGCTTAACGAGACAAGTTTCCTTCGATTTTCAGTCGGGAAGACATTTTCATCGGACGTCCCTTTTGATCAAGGCCTTTAATCATAAATTTCGCCTAGACTTAGAATTAAATACGTAAGTGGTGACGTTGATGGTAGTTTCTCCCGAAGAGAAACATATGTACAGGAGAAGCATATCTCTCTATAAACAAGAATCCTCTGTTTTCCAGGCAACTTTTAGCTCCGAATCTCGATCAAAAAGACTATTTAGCCAGCGGCGCGGAACAAAGTTCGAAACAGGTAAAACAGAGACAGAGTATGTAGTTCAGAAATCCGTATCGATCGATCGATGTTTTGCAGGAGATAGAGCACTGCTACTATCACGGCACCGTCAGAGATTATCCAGGAGCCATCGCTGCTTTTCACACGTGTAACGGTCTCAGCGGTGTCATTCACTTAGGCAACGAGACCTTCCTCGTTCATCCATTCTACGGCGGCGATTTGTCGGTCAGTTTAATTATCGGAAGACTCCTTGATCCTTTTACTAAAAACCATTGAAATTTTCGCACAGAGAAATTTCCCACTACCTTTGGGAATACTTAAAATCCTTTGCGCTAAGAAGTCGTTTGCATTCGAACCCAGACTCGGATTGAACTCGATAAGAAGAATAAAATTATTGGAAACTTTCTAACTAACATACGAGTAATCACTTTCGCGTCGAAGAAAGAATAAAATCAGAGTAGAGGCTAGGAAAATAATGGTAGCACAAAGGGGTATTCCCTCCCGCATGGTGGGAAAACAGAGGGTCCTGTTGAGACGTGAATGTTTGACTGGATCCTGTGTTTCGGGCAGGGCAAACACGGCCGTGCTGTGCCGGCCGGGCCACTCGATCCAGTTTCGTTAGCACGGCAGACGAAGCGAGAGGATCGAGTTAAGCCGCTATCAAGCCGGCTCGGCTCGGCTCGGCCCGGCTCGGCTCCTTAACGAGTAATCGGCTGGCTCGTTGTTCCGCACAGCTGTTTCACAGCGTTTGCCTGAATGCAGCAAGATTAGGTAGATCGGAAGTCTCGCGAATTATGGTTAAACGCAACCTGTGTTCTCTCGCGTCGACCAAATTTTATTCCGCGTACACTTTTTATTTACCTTCGTGATGTTCCCTATGCACGGTCTACACGAACACGTTGACGTTTACTCGAAAATTCCGCGCGAGGAAGGTAAGAATCCCGCGTGCTCATCGAACTACAGCGAGTTAAGTAGAGACGTTCTCCTTATATGCATGAGCTGTGCCTCCGTTATTATTATTCATGAGAGAATCTCAGTGTAACAACGTGACCAGGGAGAAGGGTTGGGCTAGAGAACGAAAAATAGAGTTTGCCGAGTCTAGTCGCGAATCAGGAAAAGGATCAGGATTCCTTATTGTCGAGATACCTACGGGAAATTCGAGTGAAAATAGCTGGGATTCGATAGTAGATCATAATCGTAGAATGAAATGGGAAGAAGAAAATAAACCCGCGAACGATATATGCATTATCATACGTGTAAGTATGTATGTACATATGTATATCGCATAAATATTGGCTAGAGAGGGACGGTGTGAGGCTAGGTTAAAAGCGGGCAACGGGCTGCTCGGAGAATGTTAATTATATGCAGACCTCTCTTTTAGCAGAGACATCCTCACGTTATATTTGAAGCTCGAACAAAAGTTAACCCAGGCTGCGCTAACACGGGGAACGCTAACATAGGGGGCCCTAACTTGGTGAACCCTAACCCTAATTTTGAGTGGCGTGGAAAGAACCGCCGGCAGAAGCATGTTCTGGGGCTATCGGAGACCACTTCTGATCGATACAAGAGAGACATCCGTGACGCAACCAAATACATCGAAACTGCCATCATTATCGATAAGGCTATGGTATTACGAATTTTTATTCCGAATTTTTCCGAATTTTCTGGCAAACTTAAGAGGCTATTCTACTCTCTGGACTGGATCATTTTCTAATCGAACTATACCTTTCGTTTCAAGAATCGAGAATTTTTGATCGTTTAAAAGTGGAATAGCCCCTTAAGGGAGTGCCAATCATGATCGTAATCGTTCAGAGCAAAGTTTCGAGGGTCTCTGACCGTAATTCAACGATAATTGTTATCGAGCGCCGATACGATCGGTCTTAACGATCCCCATTCTCGTAAATAAAAATGAGACCACTCGTGGAAACGTTCTTCTGCCTGTTTAGTTCGAGAAGAGGAACGGTAGCACCAGAGCGGAGGTTGTTCACGATGCCATCCAAGTCGCCAATATCGCGGACATGGTGAGCAACGTATTATAGTTTTACTCATTTTTATTAGCTTCACCATATGTCAGTTTTCTATTTGTATACATACATATACGAGTATAACAGAGTGACTCAGCGTGAATTCACTCTAAATTCAACGTAAACTTTCAGTTGCAAACCTATTACGATACATAAATTAAACTTACTTTCGTGGAACTTTCCTTTTTTTCCAGTACTTCCGTTCGTTAAGCACTAGAGTCTCCGTCGTATACATCGAAACCTGGCAGGGCAAGAACCAGGTGAGCATCGTAACAGGCATGGATATCGCTGACGCTTTGCTCATCTTAAACAATTACACAAGGCGAACAATGTTCCGTGTTCAGCATGATACCACTCAATTACTCACGTGAGTATCAGGAGCAATACGTCAATCCATGCTTAAATCTGCGCTCAGATGCAAACTCAATGGTTATACACAGGGGTGAAACGTTCAAGGGCGGAGTGTCGGGGGTGGCCGCACCTTCGACCGCTTGTAAACAAACATCCATAGGAATCAGCGTCGACTTGAACAGCTACGAGCCTCATCTGTTAGCTAGTACCATGGCTCACATGATCGGCCATAATATCGGCATGAGCCACGACGATGGAAGTTAGTTTCGTCTATTATACAGCAGTAGCTCTAACTCTTTCTTTTCTTTTCTTTTTCTCTTTCTTCAACCTCGAGCATTTTATTCTCTGAAAAACCTGCAAAGATTTTGAATTGCTTGAAAAGAAAAGAAAGAAACGGAAGGAAAGAGAGACGATTAAAAAGGAGAATGTCGTTGACAGGGACCGGGTGCACCTGCCGCGAGTGGCACGGCTGCATCATGGCTAAATCGATCGTCGGCACGTCGAACGTTCAGCCGTACACGTTCTCCGAGTGCAGTAAAGCAGACTACACAGATACGTTGAAGAACGGCAAGGGCCTCTGCCTTCTTAACAAACCAAACGAGGTGAGAGAAAGATCTAGAATCTGGTGGTAATTTTTCAATAATGGTGTACACAGTGAAAAGGTAAAACGTTCCGATTTTGTTTGTTTCATGACAGTTGGAAGTGAGGAGTTCTTGCGGAAACAAGATAATCGACGACGGTGAACAATGCGATTGTGGATCGATCGAAGAGTGCCATGAGCTGGACCCTTGCTGCGATCCCATCACCTGCAAACTCACCACGGAGGCGAAATGCGCGACTGGTCCATGCTGCAGCGACTGCAAGGTAAAATATGTATCTCTATCGCGCGAGTCGAATCAGCCAAGATGTACGTGCCTGATAGCGACAAGTAGAATAAACGCGTCGATAAATGCCGATGGAGAGGAGTGTAAATAGAGGGTGCTCTCTGACGGGTCGATTCAGAACGAAAATAAACGAAAATAAACGAAAAAGAGAGACTTCGTTTTCACTAGGAACTGAGAAATAATTCTTTTTTTTTTCCTTCTTCTCCTTGTACGTTTTATCATCCTGAGAATTTCCCGAGAACAGTACGACATTTTCGAATAGACCGCGCATAATCGCGAGTTCTAACTGAATGGATTTTGGAAACGCAGCTGCTGGCCCGCGGCGTGGTATGCCGAGAGTCGACAGACGAATGCGACCTGCCGGAAGTCTGCACCGGAGAGAATGGCCAGTGTCCGACGGATGTTTACAAGAAGAACGGGAGCCCTTGCATGAAGGATAAAGGAAGCTGTTATAACGGCGTTTGCCCGGCTCTGGATCTCCAGTGCGAGCAAATCTGGGGACCCAGAGGCATAGCCGCGGACGACCAGTGTTTCGAACAGTTTAATTCCAAGGGTTCACTCAACGGACACTGCGGCACTGACGCTTCCGGCCACTACATCAAATGCGAACCGGAGTAAGTAAACTGCGAGTCGGACGGATACCGGGGATTTCTCATAATTCAAAATTACTAAAAATTTCAACTATTTTTTATTCTGCTTTTTACTGTTCGTTTTACTGTTCATAACAGTATTTCTTTCTATTAGGAACGTTCGCTGCGGATCTCTGCAGTGCCAAAAAGGCCGCAAGCAGCCAGTAGTGGTCGGAATGGATCACTCAAGAACCATAATCTCGATAAAGGGTCAGGAATACGAGTGCAAGTAAGTTAATTTTGCATTTTCTTTTTTTTTGTTTCTTTTCTCTCCGTAATAAATTGCCTGTAATATTGTTATCAATGTTTCTTCCTTTTTCTAACAAAGGTCTACCACTGGAAGAATAGAAGGATCAGAGATGCCAGGCATGGGACTGGTTCGCGACGGAACAATCTGCGGAACCAATATGGTAAGTTGCCTAATCCCTTCCATAAACGTTCACTTTTCACTGGTACATTAATAGAAGCAGTTTATCACTGTGATAAACCGGATTATGCAAAAGTCGAGAGCCTGGGTATGGGTTTACCGTGGGCAAACAAAGCTGTTTGCTTTCAATCATAAACTGTTCCATGCGACGTGTTTCAGATTTGCGTGAACCAGACCTGCATGAACGGCTTGCAGCCCTCAGGCAAGGACAAGTGCCCCACCAACCACAACCACAACGAGTGCTCGGGAAATGGCGTAAGTTGAAAAGCCTACTCTTTTTCTTCACGTTTAGAGGCTTAGAAAAATTTTTTAAATTAAAAGTTAAAAATTTTTTTTTAATCTTAATTCGAGACCTTGTACGAGAGATTCTGAGATGCTCCTATTGAGAATCGACAAATTCTTAGGGTTTTAGAAATTTTGCGCTTTTAATTATCTGTATGTATATCACAAGTTTCATGCAAGCATTTTGTCGAACTACCTGAGAGAGATTTAGAGAGAGCATGACAGAGAGAACCAAACTTTGGGAACACTCGCACCCCGGAACAGGTCCACTAATCACCCCGAAATTCTATATTGAAACACACATCCCGGAATATCGACGAAACAACACACCAACCCGGAATCGAAAGAGGCAAGAAATCGGATTTCTTTCGACATGGATCCTGGTGGCGACTGTGAACAACACAGCACAGTTTCACTTTTACAATCGTCGAGAACTCGACGAACAAGTACAGCGAGATCGGTCATGCGTCAAAGTAAACACGTTTCGTCATGTCATCTTAATTGTTCCGGCAAGGGAATTGTCAGAAATAATGAAAAGATAAGAACTCGAATCCTCAGTCAGGGTCGTATAATGCATTCATCACGGGCAAAAGTGTTAACGAAAAGAAAAACAAGATGACGATGATGACGATGACGATGGTAATAATAATAATAATAAATTTAACGTTACAGGTGTGCACGAACGTGAACAAATGCTACTGCTATCCGGGATGGGACGGGACAGACTGCTCCATAGAGCAGGACATTCCTACTTTACCGCCGACAACAACTAGGCCTGAATCAGCCGCTACAAATAGTAGTACAACTGCTAAACCAGCGAGGAAAGAGACCCCCTACGGTAAGTTGCGATTCGTAAAGCATGGATTATCACACGAGAAATTGAACGATTCTTTGTCAATTTCTTATACATCATATACTTGTCGATTTTGTAAATCTACTTTAAGCAAATAGTAAATAGTGCTGGTTACTGGGTACGACAGACGTTCGAGGAATACGTATACGTGTGTATATGTATGTGTACGTCGGTAGGAAAGAAGGCAAGGTCCATGAAGCGATAAAGTCGAATAAGAATTGGCGGATGATGGGTCCATTCGGAGATACGTGGTGGGGTAGGGGTACGATAAGGAAAACTTCTACCGTACCCGGTAATCTGAAAAGGCGGACATTTTTCGATCGTCTAGATGCGTTTAATTCACGATAAGACGAAGACTCGCGTCCCTTTTCCCCAGCGGAGGGACACCTCCGCTTGATTATTTGGGGCCATACTATCAGCTGTGCACATAAAATTCGATATGCGTTCCCCGTATATATGTATGTATATATACAGTACGGGGGCCGATAAGCTCGCTCGATTACACTTTTTCCACTTTCGATTACTCCGACTATCCCCCTAGACCCTCGAGAGAGAGAAAAGAACGATCACACGTTACAGGTGAATGCTTCGCAACGATCTTCACCATGGAGATCTTTATCGAGGGTCCAACGAGCCTTCATCCAGAACTTTGTCCCGCCTTGGGGCTACTATTCGTTGAAATGTATTACCAGTAATCCGTTTCATCGATCATTTGTGCATAATTTTGATGTTTCTTCTTCTTGACCAAGATCACAAAGCGGATCAATATTGTTCTAATCATCATCGCCTGAGATTCACGTGTTCATTGTCTATTTGCTCGCATTTAACCTTTTACCAAACGTAATGTTGTTCTACGTATATAGGAATATACGTTATTACGTATTAAAATATAACAGTAGGAATAAATGTGGACAGTGAACGCGCGTTGAACGTGCTGAACGCGATCCATCTGCGTGATCTTGGCCCAATTGCGTTTCAGGGTCAACCCATGCATCTATCCAACTTAATCTCTTCAGGGATACTCGCAGTCAGCTTGGAACAAATTTTTCATAATGTCGTCCTTGAAAAGATTATGATGATGGGAGAGAGGATCGTATCGAGATCCGAAACGCGGAACAATATGATTGTTGATACGCTTAGGTTACAATATGATTGGTCGTTTCAGAAACAACTAACAACACTCTTAGCACCGGAGCGTTGGTAGTAATCCTGGTGAGTGTGGTCAAAGGAGTCTTCATTTCTTTTGCACTAATGGCTGTTTGCTACAGGTACAGTAGCAAAATAAAGTTGTTGAGCGGGTTCGACCAACGCCTGTCATTGTCAAGTAATATAATTCGTGGCTAGCTGGATGATGAGGCATCGCACGCGGCCATCAATTGCTCTCATAATATTGATTCATCTTAGCCTACTTACTCGATGTTCATTTATATATACATATATACATATACTGTACTATTGTTTCTTCGATGGTGTGCTCTGAATGTGCTCGTGCTCGCATAGTGCGTTTGAGTGATCGTGACTATGCTGCACGAGCGAGGGATCTGCGTCTCGACCTGGTGTCGCACGCCAAGGAACGAGACCGAAGTAACAGGCTGATCGCTGTCCTGAAGTGACGCCAACGATTAATATATATGTAGCAATGTGAAAAATGTTGATTCGTCCCTTAGAGTGCGATCCACTAAAACGCTAATGTGCCAGCTGCTTGTATGCCCTATAAAAGCATGAACAAGGCTGATTAGCGAAGAAACGAACCCCTAATTCATGATGGTTCGCTAACGTGATGATGATTCGATCGCGATCAGTCCTCTGTGTGTGTCTCTCTTTCTCTCTCTCTCTCTCTTTCTCTCTCTCTCTGTCTCTTTCCTCTCTCTCTCTCTCTCTCTCTCTGTCTCTCTCTCCCTGTCTCTTCTCTCTCTTTCTCTCTTTCTCTGTCTTTAATAGATACTAATCGAAAACTTGACGATCCGAGGGAGAAAAGAGAATAGAGAAAGGGGAAATGGTTCACCGTTCACGACACGAGAGAAAACTACTACGTCTCCTATATATACTATATGTATATGTATATGTGCTGATTCTGGCTTCTCTGTTTCTTGTCTGTTTCTGTCTGTCACTGGCATCTCTGTCTGTCTGCATGCTGTGGGACGCGCGCTGCGTGAACAATGGTACTCGATCTTGCGATATCGACGATCTTTGACGCGTAACGCCAACGACGACCACGATTACGTCGTACAGAGAACTACCACGGCTCTAACACTGTATTTTTAGTTGGTGTGCTCATGTCGGTGGTAGGGGGTGTTTTCATAGTATTTGCTCTGATGGCTCTCTGCTACAGGTCAGTCGTAGTACATAAAAACTACTCCCTCTGTCTCAGGTTAGTGTGCAGAAACATACACGTAGACATTTTTTTGTATGCGTATATCTATATCTATATATATGCACATATATATGTATGTCTACCTTTTTTTTTTTAATCTGTCTATCTATCTCTTTATCTCTCTACCCCTCTCTACGCAACCTCTCCCTCTCTCTCTCTCTCTCTTTCTCTACCTCCACCCACACCTCTAATCACTCTCTCTCTCTCTCTCTCAACCTCCACCCCCACCCCTACTCTCTCTCTCTCTTTTTCGGTTATATCGATATCTCACACGTCGTACATATATATTTACATGTATATCTTTAGCCTCTGTACTATTTACTGTCTCTTTATCTTGTTTCGCTTACGTTTCTTCTTTTTTTTTTTTTTTCGTTTTTCTATTTATCTATCTATCTGTCTGTATCTCTGTGTACCGATAATGCGCTCAAAGCTAAAATTCACTGATCGTAGCAACGAACAGAAGTCGTCGATCTGAATCGAAAGTCCGATCGTTGCCTCGATCACTGTGCTCGGCGGTTTAACACGTTCGCTGCAACCCGAAAATCGAAAAAAGACATGCCGCGTGCCACTGATTCGTAATCTCAGCCAGGCACGCACACACATACACACACGCGCCACCTCCGCATTCAACGGGGAGGATTCATGGTGGTAGTCGTCTATCGCAGAGCGCAACGGTGGCATCGACTTTTGATTTCATCGACACAAGTGTCGACGTTGGCACACAGCGCACTGAAGTCCGGACCGCATATGCTGCGTCCGTGGCAGCGAACGTGTTAAGCGATTGCAGGCGAACGCTGCTGCGAACCGTTCCGATATACTTTAATCGCTTTTGCAAGAATTGGCTAATTGTAACACTAATCATAACTAAGAGCTTCAGTGTGTACGTAACCGTTAACTGGTGTATCCTTAACCCTCTCGTTCCCATATTCAACAAATACTATCACGAATCTCGTAATAAGAATGATTCATTTTTTTATCTTGTCGAAATGTTGAACCCGGGATTGAAATCGGGAAGGAAAGGGTTAACGAGCAAGGCTAATAATCTTTGTAAGGAAAAATGATACGAGAGTAATCGAACTGCTATCGGTTAAAGGTTGCTCAAGATACTTTGTCTGTCTACGTTATCGTTTCATTTTGAGTACACATTTGGTTGATGGGTACTGCAGTGGAGGGCGATCCCACACGGGTGCTGCGGATGTACCATTCGACTGGTTGTCTCTCTCCGTTCTAATGCATGCTCTCATGGCTCCTGTAAACCCTTCTTTAGACGCGCCAGCTTCGCTAGCTTCGACCATCCCCTTTTAATTATAATTATTATTCATACTCTTCTTATTCGGTAGATCTGGATTAAATCGGCCAATAGAGACAATTCGAAAGAGAGTCGAGAAGAAAAAAAAAGGAAGGAATGAAAGAGAGTAAAAACGGAAAAAAGGGAAAAAGATGGACGAATTTAATCCTGATAGACTGTGCATATTTTTGGTAGTTTTGAGCACGAATTTCACTGAAATTTCGCTTGAAAAGGGAGCCGATTTCGATTCCATTTCGGAAATGAAGGGAATGGAAACCTCCCTGGTAGTGTTTGCATGCGCTTCCTAAACGTTCTATATGGTTGTCCACGATCGTGGTCCTGGCAAACTCGTAATCTGCGAATTTCTCGCAGAAGGAAGAGCACCGTCCAGAAGTACGACCAACCGTACGCGAAAAAACACCCGCAGACGCAGAGGAGCTACAGCGACGTTTCTGGGAACCATCATCCTGGACACGAGGTCCTGGACGGCGTGAACAAGAATATCCTCACGTTCAACAGTATGCCTAATTACAGGTACGACGATTATTTCGTTGCTTATCGTACCTATATCTGTCACGATATCAGGCTAGATACACCTCTCGATTTGACAGTCGCGTTTGTTAGAAAAGTTTATGCACTTTTATTATGCAAATCGATCAGGAATCAAAGAACGTAGTACGTTTGTTTCCACAAATGAATTCGTCCGTTAAAAATTCAAGTTTTCGAAAAGTGCACAAACTTTTAGACCTATCACCCGATAGATTCGCTGAATACTCGGCCAGTTTCTCGGTCTGCATCCCCTAGAGACAATTGCTTATCGAGTCGAGAAACGAGGCGTAACACTGAACAAGTGGACAGAGAGAAAGAGAGAGAGCGCGCGCGAGAGAGAGAGAGAGAGAGAGAGAGAGAAAGAAAATTTGGAAACGATGGAAGTACGCTTAGGGAAGACCCCTGCAACTAGTGTGGAAAAAAAAGGATCCATCAACGATCGCCAAAGACACATATATCGCTTCTGTTACTTATACATTTATTCTCCATTAATGTTCTGCGTCACACAAATCTCACGTCACACGGCATTCATTCGACATAGAGTCTCATTCGATTCAGCGTCGCCTTTTACCGGGAAATTCTCGATTTATACGGATGCGACGGACAGGCGTCTCGATGCGTCGTAACTCTCTAAGCAGCGACGAGTCGTCTGCTCAAAACCCGGGGACAGAGAGAGAAAATTCCTTTAATGTCGAGAAGACGTTACCGCCTTAACATAGAGACGAGTTACGCGATCAATTCCAGGAAGTCAAACTTCCTTATATGTAACTCATTTTTCCGCCGGTAGATCAAAGAGAGGGACGCCTCGTCGTTTGATACGCGTTTCTTAGACACCTCGAACCCCTTGCCTTGTCGCTCGTGAAGTTCAAACTCAGAATACAAATGCCACCCTTTCACGAACGAAATAACCAGTGGAAATATATGATACATAAGGCAAGGGGTTAACCCTTTGTGGTCGTGCTGAAGGCTAGTACGCTGAAATCTCTGCTTGTTTAGCAGTAGTAAGGAGAAAATTGGCGATTGCGTTTCTTCGCAAGAACGACCACAAGGGGTTAAAATCGTGATATACCCGCGGCATGCCTATATTAGTATATTTCTAGCCGCGGCGAGCCCCAGCGCGTGGTGTTTCAAGCTCCGAATAACGTCGCCACTGCAGACGGGCCAAGAGTCAAGTAAGTCTCATGTGTCTCGCCGTTATGTCACCATAGTTGATCGACGATCTCAAGACTCGAAACATACACACATACACACACATACGCGCACACGCACTTACGCAACACAGACACAGCTAACGAAGCAGGTTAGTAGCTTTTTTAAATCGTACAGAGGCCACCTACGGTGTTCTCTAGCCTGTCTCGTTTTATTCTGTCGAGGCAAAACCGGAAGTGTTCCTTTCGGGGAGAGATATGCCGTTCAAGGGGGCAATTTTTTCAAGGGTCTATTTCGTTTTCTATTCGATGCTCGAAATCGAAGTACATATCTTTCTCTTCGAGAAAAGTGATTCTTTCTCTTCGTAATTCGCGGTAATTTTGCTAATCGTGAAGTTATTTCATTTCCATAATCTATGTGATTAAGGAACACGCTTGCTTTTTTTTTTTTCGTAGAGTTGTTCGTCTTCAAGTAAAGTCTTACGGTGTTACAGAGTTGCCTCGTTCGAACGAATATCTTTCGCGTGTCAAGAGATAAACTCACACACGTACACGAACATTGTGGAATAACACATGAATACTGAGGAGCATTGTTTTAAGAGCACTGACTAGGAATGCAGCTATAGCGATACATTTGGTATAATCGAAAAAAAAAAAAAAAAAAGAAACTGCGAACACTCGCGTCGTCTGACGACGACGACGAAAAAAAGAATATTTCCGTTTGTCGAATATCATTTTTTTCCCCTTTATCCTTCGGAATATTGAGTTGCAAACAAGAGTATCGCATAACGGCACGATGCATTTGGCCCAAATTTCCGTGTGTACAACGTTCGAGAGGTGGGGGCATCTCTTTCTACAGGAAAGTTCGAGTAGATCGAGCCCATCTTGTCCGTTTCACCCAACGTAGGAATTGTCGAACCACTTCACTACGTTTCAGTAGCTCGCTCTTCATACTTTTAAGGCGAATTTTTTTCCATTTCCTTATCTTTCTTTTTTTTTCTTTTTTCTTTATTGTCACCCACATGTGTACATCGACGCCCACACGCCGTCATGTCCCTAATACACACGCTGTGGTCGATCCAAGTAGAGTGAAATTGATTGCATGCGTAACGTTGAATCCTTGCACTGCATGGTCCACCTTGATGTCGACAATTGCACAGAGCATGCTCCGTCCGTTACTTTTTGGTACACATATCTCGTATTACATCCAAAGAAAAGAATTGAAAATCCTAACGAAATATGTAACCAAGAGCCAAAGGATTCGTATTCGGCTTGATTGGCGAAGAATGGAACAGAAAAGACTTAACGTTCAAAGGTGTAAACGAAAAAAAAAAAGAAGAAAAAAGGAAAAAGAAAAATTGAAAAGAATTAACGGAATGAATAAAAACGCCTATGAATGTTTCGTCTTCGACAAACTCGAACTTCGTCCCTTCAGACCCGAAAAAATGTATCTTTTCACATGGGCATTTTCAGGGAGCACAAATCGCAGATGAAGAGGCCCGTGATATCCGGGGACGACGGAGGTATGGGGACAGAGGAGGCTGTCTCTTTCATTGATCTGCAAGGAAACAAAGAGAAAAAGAAGGGAATTTTAAAGAAACACGTTGATTACGGTATTGTAATGGCTGATAGTTGTGTACGAATGTATGGGCTGACGTTTCACATGCCCATAAAGGGACGATGCAACTGGTTCGAACGCTCGTGTCTTGAGTGACAATTAATGTACATTAAGGTACATTCTAATCTACTAATCGTAAGTAAGAATACCTATATGTAGAGACTAAACTAAAAAGATCGAGGAGCCGTATGCATCGAGCCTCCGTAAGCAAGGTTACGACGAGAAACAAGGGAATAGATTTTGAGGGCTAATCTGAGGAACGGTTAAGCAGGTGGTGGAACGGTACCAACAGGGGCGTGTCCCCTGGAACAGCTAACCGGCTACCACGAGCACATAATCGAGGCCCTGAGACACGCGGCCACCTGCATAGATACCTCGGGCACACCATCAGCCAGCGGTAACCCCATGGATGACGAAGCTCTGATGGAAGATCTGACGGACGACGGGTATCGCGAGGACGTCGGCGGGCAGGAGCACGTCGATAACCAGATTGAAGAGGAATACGGTGGACCGTGTAGCACCATTCGTATACGGAACTTGGACGACCTGTTCAAGCAGCTGGATCGACACACGCGACACTCGAGCCCCTGCGACTCGGAGGACATCCGGATGTCAGAGAGCGAGCCAGACCGCCACTATAGAATAGATTCGTCCGTTTGTAGCGAGTCCTCCCAAGGGTAAGAACTGATGCGAAATACGCGCTTCGCTATACATATACATATGTACACGTATGTACATATATTCATGCTTCAATTTTTCATTCTCGATTGGTATTTTCTTTTTTTTTTTTCTTATTCATCTTGAAGCTTGGGAACGATATTACACACTGGTTGACAAGTGATACTGATTTCAAAGGGGGAGATCCCGGGCTGGCACCTCTTTCACTCTTGTTCGATGCGTCGTTGCTTACTCTCTTCGTATCTCTTTCGCTTCCTAACTCGCTTATATTACAGCAGACAGACCAGCGACACACGTGTCTGGGTATATACAGTAGCATTAGCTATAGTAGTCACTACTATATACGTTGCAGGCATTAATTGGTACACCTCGTCGAAGTTGGCTTGCATAACGAAATACATGCAGAGTCTGTTTATACCGTATACTTTCTATAGAGAACTACGCATATTTATTTGGGATATTTTCCGTGGAAATTGGAACTGATTCGATTTCCTACGTAGAAGCAGAAGATGTAGCCGCGGCCGTGACGATACCTACGGTAGATATTGTCAGCCATCGTCTCGAAGTCCTTACGGCACCCATCAGCACACTCAACACTCCCATCAAATGCACAAGGAGGAGGGTATCTATGAAACTGCCGACCCTGACAGAGGCTCAAATACTAGGGGTGAAACGCCTGATAGTGAAAGGTATCGCAGATTCTTTCAATACGAACCGACCTTGTTAGTAGATCGATCGACGACACACCATCGACCGTAGTTCACGTTCACCCCTTTATCGCTTTCTAGACAAGTCATCGCTAATTATGGGTGTTCGAGGCGATTCCAAGTTCTTCCTCGACACCGCGAACGACTCGATTCGCCTCGAATTCTTTTCCAAAATGTGGTGAAATCAAAGTAATTGAAAGTCGAGGGCCCATTGCCAGACAGTTCAAAGGGTTAGGGTCTCTCGGTATTCGAATTACAATCACTGTGTGACAAACGCGTCTTCATTCAGATAAGGATCGGTGCACTAGCTACATATGCAGGTAGATAGACTATCCCAAACGTCGAATTAAACGGATTATAAATA